TTGATTACGAAATACATTTTTATATTATACTTGTACAACTTCTTCTAGTAGCATCGCAGGTATGTATGGAGGTGTATCCCATAAAAGCAATTCTTATTTAAAATAAAAACTTCTCTAATATGATTATTGAATTTATGTATGCATTGATGAATGCTTATTGCCTATTGGTAGTTATTTGTTAACCGAAATATGTATTATAAATCATCTGTAGCAGCATAACTCGCAAACGAATGGACCCATTTTGATGCATTCTATTTGTTTAAAAGGTGACGTTACTTACTACGCTTAATTTCCAGATTACGAATGGATTTCAACAAATTTTTATGAGTTACTTGGAGTTTCTTTATTTTTTTACTTTACACGAAAATACAGTTATTAATTGTTTGCATAATCCTGTTTCATTGGACCAATAGTGAAAGTACTTCATTAATTACTAGCTATACCCGTGACTTCGTCCGCGTGGAATATACGGCGATTTAGTTCATACAAACTGTCATCTTACCTACTTATTTAACCCCCAACTACTTTATTTTACCCCCTAAAGGTAAAATTTTCACAAACTCTGAATGTCATATTTATTTATAGTTAATCAACAGCTTAAAAATAAGTTTTAAGCTTCTAGCTTTAATAACAACATTTCTCTCCCTTTCATTTAATTTCTTTCGCATTAAAAAGTAGCATATATCTCTTCTCAGAAGACTCTGAGTCTAGACAGACTATGTTCCAAATTTAATTTATATCGGTCCAGACAGATTTTGACTAAATCGAGACAGACTGGGACAGTTATTTTCGCATTTCTAATATAGGGAACGATTACAAACATACATTTTGACGGAAATACTCTGTGACAGCTTAAAATCAGTTGTATAATTTTACGTATGTCAACAAACAAACAACCAACAAATACTATACCTACTATGTTTTTATTTAATTGAAATAGTAAACAACCTTACGTCAAACCTGATGGTAATATGTAACTGTCGCCTGTAGACTGAACACCACTACGGATAAGTTTAATACCCGTGATACACTCATGTGTTGCCATTCAAGAGTACTAAAATATCATGCGTCTTGCTGCATGCTGTCATGCCTCTATACTGGTAGACAATATTACTTTTGTTACTAGTATAATATTAACTATTACGAGTAGTTTTGAATATAACACAGAAAATTGATCCTTAAGGTCAGACGTCGTTGTTATCGAGAGTACTGTAATTTGACTGCATAATCTCACCCTGTAATCGAAACATATGTTTCAATAAAAGCTGTTTTGCAGCTGGAATAGGTAAATTTTATACCAAGGTAGACGATTTTTACAAAATATATGGGTGTTCACTTATATATATAAAATTTCTCTTATAAGAAAAATCTAAATTCACAATCTGACAACAACGTACTAATCCTATAATAGTATATAGTAAATATATAGAGTAGATAATACGTGTGCATATGATTATTTGCAATGCTGCATAATATCCGGCCGGTCGGTAGCTTACATTTACCTGAGGTGGCTCTAATTAAATACAAATCTCAAGACAATACGCGGTGCGGAGATTTCCCAAGAAATGTATTCACACGGGGTGATTTTCTTAACTAACAAGTTTATTAATTATATATTTTTTAGTATTATGTAAAATATTACTAAAGCGGTAGATACACATAACAATAATATGTGCTTAGTCCGAAAATTTAAATTAAGTGACAAAAGCAATACGACGCCGTAGTACTCTGAATATTACAAAAATATAATAAAAATTATGATATAAATAAAATAATATAGGGATCATAATAATCTAATAAGTAAATCCTATGTAGTCCTGAATCTTGGAACTTATAATGCATATATTTATTTTACTATGGAAGATAATAAATTTACAACAGTACCAGTAAGTACTTTCTTCAGGCATAAACTATTAGATATTATTAATATTGCAATAATAGTAAGAAACTATATTTGCTTTTGGTCCATAGTAATTCTCTTTATAAATTCTATGTGGCTTCGTATGAGTCCTTATTCATTTCTATACATTAGATATTGTTTATGTTCACTCAGTCACTCACTCATAATATGACTTTGGAACAATGTAAGTAAGTACTCGGCTTTCAAAAAGTGAAACAATTTCCTAATAACAAAATACACTCTCTCTCTCTCTCTCTCTCTCTCTCTCTCTCTTAATAATATTTATTTTATACTAATTAATTTTGTAACATTCACAGTTCAGCTATATTTACTAAAAACAATGTTAACAAGTATATTAATCTCAATCACAATCTTTTAGTAAACATGTCATGACACAAATTATCACGTGTTTTCAAGTGGAGTTTTTGTGAACATCACAAACAAAAAAAAAAGTTTTGACATCCGTTCAGTTCTTTAAGTGGTTTCCATGTGGCAGTCGTTTAACTTACATCGTAAATAGATACTTACCACCTACTTCATCACCTTATTAACATAAAAAACACATAATTGACGGCCTCGATATTCCGTTTTATTGTGTTTGACTCGTTGGTTGATATAATTAGACACATTTATAATAAATTAATTTGAATTTATAATTTCACCTAGTGTGTATCTGCTGGTACATGCAGTATATCCATCCAAGTCGAAACTAGCGGAAGTTTATAATTTATGAATCGAGTTCCGCCTTCACGACCTCTCCATCCGGGGCCGACTAGCGAGACGGTAATGAAGCACCTGATGTATAATGCATCATCTCGTCTGAGATCACCTTAAACTATAATTAAGATGGAGTTAAGTAAGGAAATTAGTTTAGATTAGTTTCAAAGTTTTATTATGAAAATTACATAGGTATATACTTGTATTACAGTGCAACTTTTAGAGTTGGTCGACTCTAGTAGTCGTGGCTGAATGCTTCGCAAAAAGTACCAATATATACGTTATAACAAGAATAAAAAATTACCAAGAAACATACTGAAATCCAAAATTTTACATATTCTACCAAATTGGTAACATGATCGCATATAGACATGAAGATCTTATACAAAAAATATCACTTTACTGAATTATGTCGCCACTAGTGGGTATTCATTATTATAGAAAACGCAAAAGCTTGAAGTTTTGTGAATGGGTTTTGAGATTCCTCAATTTTTAATGACCCGTTCTATGTAAGAGAGATAATAAATTTATCAGTCTAGTAATGCAGAAATGGATAATCATGTCAGTCTCTATTTCATACTGAAACTATGGGAGAATATGCTCTTTTAATTTGTTAATATGATTATTAATGTGCATAATTTAATACCGACTCCGGAACTAAACAAGATTAGGACGCTCTTAGTTGAAATATTAAATAATAATTATTATTTATCTATAAAATGGACAACTTCTGAATTTTGTTAAGGTGGATTTTTATGAATTATGTGGGCCAATCCCAGCGGCACTGCAATGCCGGGCCGACCCGTGACGGGAGTGGAGCGAGCCCCGAACATCCCGTCGATTTACAAAAATCAGTTTAATATACTGGTCCCTCAGTGAGGGAACTTTCAGATATTAAGCTGAAAAGAACAGATACTACACTTTGATCTTAGCCAAAAGGCCGAGAAGCGATAAAAATTCAATGCGTCTTCCAGGATGTCACCATATACAAAATAATATTTATATCGCGTTTTAGAAATTATCATACAGTGCCATCTATGAGTATTTTTATGCAACACCATCTATTGGGAATAGCATTATTTGTCAATTGAGATATATTATTTCGACACAAAAGAAAGATTTTTATAGAACAGTATTTTCTGAGGATTGTTTAAGTATATAATTAATAAAATAAAATATATAAAGTAATGAATTACAAAATTAAAATACAAAAAAGTTAAAATTTAACCTTTAAACAATGTTATATGTATAGATATTGTGAAGAGCGCCATCTATTGCTGTTTACAGACACTATAAAGATGGTTAAGATGTGTAAAAGCATGCGATAAGTAAAGATTGCATGAAAACGACAAGGAAGGCACTTCTTGAATTACAGTTTGATCTTTTGATTTACATAATAATTATTAATAATAATTCTATGACATGTAAATATTTTACCACACTATGGTGAAGCAAAAGAGGAGATTACGAATTTGACCGGTATTTATGTTTGTTTCTATTTTAAGTTGTATCGGTTAGATAAAATTTAATTGACAGATGATGCTATTCGCCATAGATGGTGTCGTATAAAAGTACTCATAGATGGCACTGTATGATAATTTCTAAAACGCGATATAAATATTATTTTGTATATGGTGACATCCTGGAAGACGCATTGAATTTTTATCGCTTCTCGGCCTTTTGGCTAAGATCAAAGTGTAGTATCTGTTCTTTTCAGCTTAATATCTGAAAGTTCCCTCACTGAGGGACCAGTATATTAAACTGATTTTTGTAAATCGACGGGATGTTCGGGGCTCGCTCCACTCCCGTCACGGGTCGGCCCGGCATTGCAGTGCCGCTGGGATTGGCCCACATAATTCATAAAAATCTTACCACCCGTAAAGCCCTATTTACACTCGGCCCGAGTGGGCAAGAAAGTGAGCAACGCGAAAGTATAAACACGATATTTCCCATGCCATTGGCGCTGCCAGTCGCGTTGCCCGGCGATCTCTCCATTGTCGGTTTTTCGTGCGCGAGTCAAAGGAATGGCAGCGTGTGTTTACATTTAGCCCTCTCGCTCAGTTGTCGCCCGGCAATATTTCAACGCAACGCGAGTGGCAGAGGAAGCGGCTGAATGTAAACGAAACATAACGAATCTTAAAAACTGATACCGGAATCAATATAAAATTATCCACATTAATAACATATTATATTATGCTTTAATATTAAATTAAAAGAACTTTTCAAAAAATTATTTTACAGATAGTATCTAAAATTCACGATACGAAGCCCATAGTTTTGAATGGTTTTGTTACAGTGGCAACGAACACCATTATTGTGATGACCATGAATAAGATTTCGGCACATGCCCATGGAAAGAAACAATCCGAATTTACGTTCTCGATTTAATTATTCTAGTAATAACAAAGGCTGATAAGCAAAATTTGCATTAGTATTAACCAATTATCTGAGTTGAGGGAGAGGGTTCGTTTTACAAATGGGATATATTCTCCAGTGGTATAGTTGGAGATTCGAGTATATACGCCAGGCTGCATGCCGCATATGCCTCCCCAGGACACGATGCCGACCAGCACCCCTCGACAAACGATCGGCCCCCCGGAGTCACCCTGCAGAAAGTTCGTAACAGAAGTTAACACCTACAATATATTTTGTCTATGTGTTAACAATGTAAGAATATATTCATTCCTAAGGTGTCGTAGAAGGCATATAGAAGAAATTGGAAAGCTGCTTGAATAGCGTAACTAATAAAAATAAAGCTATTGTCCTTCCTTTAGTTTTTTACAAAAATCTGGTTATTTAAAATTCACGGCTCATGGTAGGTACTTCCGTAGATTATTAATTCCAAAGTATAAATATAACAACAGTAAATATTTTAATCGAGATAGACTTGTACGAAGACGTCTGCATAAACTCATACCTACATCTTGCCTATTTCAGCCGCGAAGAAGCTTATTGTAAGATCTGTTTCGGTTGAAGAGTGAGATATAGCAGTGATATTACAGTATAAGAAGGTAGGACATCTTAGTCCGCAGAATTGCCAACTGAGTGCTACATGATAACGTGATGTCTGTGGTGCTCTTTATGCATAAGTAAGTTTTGGTGACGATTATTACAGACCACCAGATGAATGTCAGTTAGTTTACCATACCAGTGAATAATAAATGTAGGATAAAAACGCTGTCTTGTTATTTTTTTTATTTTATTAATAACATTCTTTGAATGGGGGCTATAAATTTGCAAATTGTATTTCTATTATATTGTATATTTGCTAACCTGACAACTATCCTTATTTTTGATGCCAGCACAAAACGTAGACTTATGCAATAAGCGAGAACTAAAGAAAAGTGCACAATCCTTCGTCGACATAATTGGAACACACACCATGCGCAATACAGACGATGGCTTTTCCTATAAAATACACACATATTTATATTATAATATAATTACCATATAACTTTATTAATGTTATAATACCAGATGGATAGTCAGAGGTTTGTCCAATTGTCGACAATGATCTTCACATCGCCATATTTTACTCTGTATATTTAAGTAATTCAAGCGGTGTGAATGAATTCTCCAATCTTTTAGATCTTTTTTGCTAAGAACTAATATTTATATCATGTAATTATAGCATAATTGAAATCAGATTTATTTTATTAACAAAGTCTTAAAATGTTTTGTTTACATTTTCTAGATATCCGAATCCTGATACCAGACAGTTTTCACCTTCTAAGATATCCCAGCCCATGTCCAGAGAATGCAGACGTACTGGTTTCACATCCGAAGATACTATGAAACTTTTCACTACCTGCATAAAATACAAATAATAAGATATTTCAGCTAATACAACAAACGAGTAAATCGACTGGTAAATCGAGATTCGATTATTTAATTTACCACGAGTATCTATTGATTATTAAATTTTATTTTAGAATACAACATTTTGTAATAATAATGATTACCTCAAAAAGGGCTATGTCATTTTCCAATGCCATTTTATTGTAGCACTTATGTCTATAATAGTTTTTAATCACTCTCCAATCCTCAGTTAACATCGTGAATACGTTTACATTGCTCTTCGTTGTACCAGCTACAGCTCTTACTGATTTCAAGTTTCTTCTATAAAAATAGAAATAAGTTGATTTTTAATAATATTATTAATACCAAACTAGGTAATTTTCTTTCTTACCCATCAAAGCAATGAGCCGCAGTAATTACAAATATTTCAGTAATAAGTGATCCACCGCAGAAAGATGTCCAATACAAACCGCCCGATACACCTTGTCTTAGTGCGATCTAAAAATAATATAATATTTTTTTGTTTATTTGGATCAACAGACAGTACAACACACGTTGAATTAACAATATACATAGTGCATAAGTATTAGGTACCTAGGTATAGCTTATCATTTCCATCCAAACCTTTAATTTATGTTATATAATTGGAATGAATAAAGGATTTGAAACATAATACACAGCAAGAAGAATATGAAATGAGATAAATGAGAAGAAAAATATGGTAGAATTAAAAAGCAGAGTTTCATACCTGATATGGAACATTAGATACAGATGTCTCAATTCCACCTACTATCCTGAGAGGACATAAATTTGTATGCGCAATAATTTGTTTATTCTCATTCAATAAATCCTGAATTTGAAACTTAAGAATTAATATAAATTTATGAACTAATGGATGTACGTATCTACTTATATGTAAAGAATATAATCTTTATATAACAATAAAAATAGGACAATTAAATTAAAATAATTTACGCTAAGGCTGCTGAAAGCAAAGTTGATTATGATATTTAAATAAGTCAATACATATTATTACATGTAGATATAATATCAAATTAATGGTAATTATGAGTGACAGAGTTTTCAATATTTACATTAAATTTGACATTTTGGCTATTAGAAGTGTGCAAAATTGTAAGTATCACAGTGAACACAGAATATTTTTCAATTATCATTTATGTATATAGCAAATCTTATTATTTGTGTAAATAAAGATTATGTTAATTTATTTTATCTGTGGTCTATATCGAAGAGTTTGTACAGAATATATATGTATATATAGGAAAAACGGCTCTAAAAACATATAAATATGGAATGTCAATTAATTCAAATTGAATGTATGTGTTACTGTTCTAAGCTGTTCCTACGCCTATCATAAACATAAAACATTTTATGTTTATGGTACCTATTTATTGGTATGTATTGTATGTTAATGCAATCAGAATTCATTTGTAATAAATATTCTGTATCAAAAACTCTTTGGTTTGACGAATTTATTATGACATTTATATTTATTCATATCTTATTCTTCTGTATTGATCTATTGAATTATAAGAATGGCGTTACAGAGTCTGTTTTAGTAGAAAATCATAGAAATTATATGTATTTTTCTTAAACTAATATTTCGTTCAGAATTGTAATGTTTCTAATATTCTATTGGGTATTTTTCTTCACACTTTTCGGTGGAGGTACATCAAAGTTAGTAGTTCGGCCGGTGGTTATTGATGATACAGTTATTATACCACGAGTTGTCAACGGGAAGCCAGCAACATTGGGAGAAGTGCCTTATCAGGTATCGTTATCATACATGCACACATATATAGATATCACCCTGGTGGTATATACATCGTCTACGGTAAATTAAACTAGCTTTCAGGCCTGTATATGATAATTTTTGGCATAAAATAAGAAGGTCCTTAAACCCAGTAAATATTTTTAATAATAGCAATTTAATAGCGTAGTACCTATCATCATTGCAATGCCTTTATCCCATTATTTGGTGTCGCCTGGGCCGTCACGGACAGTAAGAGCAGAAGCTTACTGTCCTTGCATTATAAAAAAATTGTATTCTTGTTACTAAAAACATTGTTCTGCAGTGAAAGATAGTATGAATAATAGTAATGTATGGGTTGTATGGTGTATACAGTTAAAATTCCATAATATAATGAAAGCCCTTCCTTAGTTGTCAATGCTATAAAATGTTTCCATACTAATAATTTTATTCCCCTATTTATCTTCTAACATCAGCATAACTTGCATAATAGGCTGTTTAAATACATAAATAAATACAATCATTTATTATTTTTTGTTATTTTATTTATATTTTCTACTAGTGTTTATTCTGTTTGCCGCGACATTTTGTTTATTTCTTTACTAAGTCGTTAAAAACCTATTGATTTTATATGTATATCTATTGAGTAAATTGGACGTACACCAAAAAATAAATATTCTCTATAATCATGTTCTTTAAAATTCACAATTTAAACGTTTAGGGTAGTAATACATATATTATGTTTCAGGTAGCATTTAAAATTGTACATTCACGGTCAAGAAAAACATATATTACATTCTGTGGGGGAACAATTATAGCTCCAACTAAACTCGTTTCTGCAGCCCATTGTTTCGAATTGAAGAAAAGTCAATGTGCCATTTTTCAGGACACTATGTGAGTTATGCATTCATTATATTTTATTTTATGCATAGCTACTAAACTAAGCGTGTACGAATTATTTATTAGTGCCAAAGAGAAATGTAATACTTAGACAAACAAATATTATAATGTCTGCTTGTTTCTGAAGATAAATAAGACACGATTATATTTATATGTAAATTATACTTATATTAGTTTTATTATACACCAAAACTTCATTATTATATGAAACTTACCTACAGTTTACGAGTGTTATGGCCAAGTAGTTTACTTCCTTAAATGACGTCCAAAAGTCATGAGGTTAAATCACAAAAAAAACCGTGTCTCAATTTACATTTTCGCTTACACCTTACCAAGTTGTGGAACGATGAAGCTTGATATACCTACTCATGAAATGTGGGCATGTCGTGTTGTGTTCATTACCAGACTCTGTGTGGGATCTGGGAAAAAACCGTTGTGACAGTATGTATGTTTATGTACTTCTTATTAAAATCTATATAACTGTGTAAGTTTTTTTGCAGCGAAATCCATTCGAAATTCTTACGTGGAAAGTACGCGGTGGCCGGTAATTTGTTGAACGTAGCCAAATTACAAAGTACTAATAAAGCGTCGAATGGTGGGCAATGGAGGAAATTAAAGAAAGTTATATATCCGTCCAGATATAATTTTCCAAATCATGATATCGCTGTAGTGGTAGGTCATTTTATAAATATTCTTTATTGCACTTAATTACATTTATAAGTAAATTAATTACAGCTAATGTTAACAAAGGAGGACTTATCTCTAAAAGAGATCTCTTCCAGTCAACCCAATAGAGCGTGGCATAGGAAGTGTTGAGTGGGTTAAAATGTGCAAATTATATTTTTTATGAAAATGTCAAAATAATTAAAACTAAACATAAAAATATAATGTCCAAAATACAGATACTAATACAATATACATAAAGATAAAAAAATATATATATATATTAATATATAATATGTACTTGAATACCTAAACAAATAAAATTACATTTATAATAAATATATAATAACCATAAATATATACTAAATCAAACAATAAATACTACAAAGATATATATACAATGATGACACTAATCGCATAGAAGTAGAAAGGTAATATGATTTTAACTTTTTCTTAAAAGAACCACTAGATGGACTTTTTTGAATCTCCAAAGGGAGATTATTCCATAGCTGAGCAGCACGAAACGAAAAGGAGTTACCCATAAACTGAGTTCTACTGTTAGGAAGTTTAAGGATCCTCGAGTGGTTTTGGCAAAGGCGTTTGGGACGGGAAGAGGGGGTAACAATTGAAAGCGGGAACGAAGGTAGGCGGGAGCATTAGGATTATTAAGAATATTATAGAGCATGGATAGGATATGCACATTATGCCGAATACGGATTGGGAGCCATTTTAAACGAGCGCGGAAATCGGAAACGTGGTCATTATTTGCGTAAACTGAAGATAAATCTTATAGCTAAATTTTGTAAGCGCTCTAGTTTATTTAAAAGCTCCTCAGTCATATCTAAGAAGCAAACGTCGGCATAGTCAAGAATGGGAAGTAAAATGGATTGCGCGAGCATAATTTTGGTGCTGAAGGGAAGAAAATATTGGAGACGTTTGAGAGTGATATGAAAAGTGTATTCTTCTACTAATTTCGTTGACATGGGAAATCCATGACATAGTACAATCCAAAATAAGTCCTAAATTTTTAACCTTGTCAGTGTACGCTATCTCAATGTTGTTGTATATTATTGGGGGTACCAAAGACCAATCCAACTTGCACCTGAGTCTGCTACTACCAACAATCATGGCTTGGGATTTGGACGGATTAATAATGAGACCGAAAGATCTAGCCCACGATTGAATACTCAAGAGATCACAGTTTAAAGCTTCTACTGTTTGAGTCACTTCCGACAAGGAGAAGTGACGGTATAACTGCAGATCATCTGCATACAGATGGAAGGGAGAAGTAATGACTCGAGAAATATTGTTAATAAACACTGAAAATAGTAAAGGAGAGAGTACACCGCCTTGAGGTACACCAGCAGTTAGAGAAGTCCAGTCTGAGGAACCATCACTGGTTCTAACACACTGCTGGCGACCGAAAAGAAAAGAAGAGAACCATTCTATAACAGAATTTGAAATGTTAACGGCACGGAGGGCACCAAGGAGAATATCGAAATCAACAGAGTTGAATGCACTGCTGAAGTCCAATAAAATAATGGCAGTCAATTTGGTGTCATCCATAGCCTGCCGTATATCCTCTGTAATATTAAGAAGCGCCCCAGTAGTGCTGTGGAAGGGACGGAAGCCTGACTGGAATGGACATAACAGGTTATTGGTGGAGAGATATGTATAAAGTTGATTATGGACAACGGATTCAAGAGCTTTGGAGAGTAAAGGAAGAATAGAAATGGGACGAAATTGGGAGAGACAAGTAGGATTACTTGTTTTGGGAACTGGTATGACATAAGCCTTTTTCCATTGTGATGGAAAGACATTGTTGCTGAGTGAAAAGTTAATAATGTGAGTAAGCACTGGCTTATGTTGTCACTACCGATGGCTTTAGAGGAAAAAGATAGAAGGATTTTCTTAACAGCATCTACTGGTATTGCACTGAAAGTAAATGAAGGGCAATCGAGTGGAGCAAGACTTGAAAGAGTTGAAATAGAATTAGCTTTAGTGAGATTGCTAAGAGTAACAGGTGAGGAAGAGAAGTGCTTATTTAAAGCATTGAGGTCCAAGTTACTTTTAAAAGAATCAGTAGACTTGCCCACTCCTAGTGATTGAAGAAATTTCCAAATTTGAGACTGATTAAGGTTTTGTATAGTTGAATGAATGTATCGGCGTTTAGCATCCCTACACATTCTGTTGCAGATGTTGCGAAGCTTTTTATACGTTTCAAAATTAAATTGTGATCTCTCTTGTTTATACCGACTTTTAGCTCTGTCCCGCTTGGCCATATTTCTCTTGATAACAGGAGTAAGCCAAGGGGCAGGAGCATGTTTAACGCGTACTGGCCGGACTGGAGCATAGGTATCGAAAATTTTTATAAGCTCACAGTTAAATATATCTATCATTGAATCAATGTCGTCCGAAAGTAATAAGGGAGACCAGTCCACTCTTCTCATATCCTCTCTCAAACGATCAAGATCCATATGCCGAAAATCGCGAAGTAAGTGAACCTTACCCTTATTTTTGGAGGACGCAAGTTGTATGAAAGATAAATTAAGTCATGTTGAGAGAAAGGAGAACACATTTGTCCGTGAGAGATAGTAGTATGGGGATGAGAAACTATAATTAAATCAATAAGGGAAGGTCTACTGTTGTGAAAGTAATGGGTCGGTTTCGCCATGGGCAAAACATTAAGATTAAGCGCAGATGTTAAACCCATAAGCTTGCCAGTTCTTACATCATTCTTCAAGAGACAGGTATTTAGATCCCCCATAACAATTACGTGATCAAAACGAGGGATCAGTGCTTCAAGAACAGTCTCCAATGAATTAAAATAATCTATTTTATCATTGGGACTGTACAAAACACCCAGTAACAGTTTTTTGTGATGAACTGTTGTAGTGATGAAGAGATATTCCAATGAAGCGGTTATTTGTGGTTGAGATGCACAGACTATTTCTGCACAACAATCGCTGCGAAGGTAAATCCCCACACCGCCACCCCCAGAGGTAGTACGGTCATTACGAAAAAGTTTATAGCCCGGAATAGCACAGCAGGTGGAGGGAAGAGATGGCTTAAGCCATGTCTCAGAGATAAAAATACAATCGACTATGCCGGCGCTGAAAGATGTGAGAAGATCGGAATAATGAGCTAATAAGCTCTGAGCATTAATATGCACAAGGGAGAGGTATTTGGAGTGGTCAGCAAAAATAGTCCGCAGTTTGTCATCAAGAGGATTACTATCGGACATAGAAGAATTAAAACTCGATGCAGTGTCAAAATCATCAGAAGAGCAAGAAAAGTAATCATCATTTACATCCATAAATATATATGAATACAAGAAATACAAATAATATATATAAATATTAAAATTATAATAATAATAAAATACAAATTGTAATAAAAAAGAACAATTACAGCTGGCTCATTAACTGCTTAGGTTGACTAGAAGAGCTTAACATAAAACTAACCTAACAATATATTAGTTTAAAAAAAAAAAGTATACAAATAAAACAAAAAAAAAGTTGTTTACAAAAACTACAGTAGGAAAACCAAGTGACTATATCCATCATAAAAATAAAAAATAAAATAAATGTATGTAGTGACTAGAACTAACAAAACGCAGTACAGATATTATTATGTCAGTTGACATTGACATATTGACAGTTCATCAAAACAAACAGAACTATATGAAAAAGTCGCGGGAACGCTTGAAAGGAAGCGCGCTCTTTTGATTTTATATTTTCATTTTCCATTATATATTAATTATTTCTGTATAGTTTGCTATTTAAATAGTGTATTGCACCCTCGTCATGGGGAAGAATAGAAGGAAGCGGAAAAAAACTGCATCTCCAGACGATCCTGATAGCGATTGTAAATCAACAACCACGTCTGATTACGAAGAAGCAGATTCAGATCCTAAAGTATTATATAAACCTTATTTTGTTACTGATTATAATCGACGATACCCAGAAGACTCCGGTGCAACTGAATTTGTTGTCTTCGTTGAGTCTACTGATTCTAATACCGCCATAGGCGCCAGAGATCTTTTATCCTTATCATCCTGTTTAAAAAGATTCAATAAAGGGGTAAAATACCTTAGAAGCCTAAATAAATATAAAATCGGTGTTTACTTTGAGAAGCCAGGTCTTGCAAATGCATTCTTAAACAATTTAACATTTTTGAAAGAATACCAGTTTAAAGCTAGCATTCCAGCAGGTTCAACCGAAGTCACAGGAGTCATCAGAAATGTCCCTATAAATTTATCCAATATGAAGATTTACACAATGTTATCAAGCTATAAGAAAATTATTTGTATTCGACGTTTTTTAAGAAAAGTTAAAAATGATGTTACTTTTTATCTACAGCCAACACAGACAGTAGCCATTACTTTTGCTGCATCAGTTCTGCCCGACTATGTGGACCTGGAAGGTTGGAGACATGATATTTCACCTTACATTCCTCCTGTTAAACAATGTTTCCGGTGTTTAAGGTATGGTCATTTTGCAAAGTTTTGCAAGAATGCTGAGATATGTTCCATTTGTAAAGGAAACCATAATTTTAAAACATGTACTACACCAATTGATAATGCCAAGTGTTTCCATTGCGATGGGAACCATATAAGTGTCTCATCACAGTGCCCTGTAAAACAAAAAAAAATAATTGAGAATAGAAATAAAGCACAAAGACCTTCATATGCAGACACTTTCAAATCTTTTCCCACTCTTGGACACAGACTAAATAAACAGAATAATGACATTATTTCAATTTTAAAAAATGATGACAAATCACTAGGCCTCCTTGTAGAGACCATTGTTAAATTAATAACATTAAATAAGACCCAAAACACATCAATTTGCTCTAAAAATGTACTAGAACTGCTTACTGAAAATTTCAGTACTAAAATAAATAGTATTCAAAATTCACAATAAACAAATTAAACATAGTACAGTGGAATGCTCAAAGTCTGTTGAGCAATCGACATTTATTTTCACAATTTTTATATAGTAAAAATA